GTATTAATATTAAATAACGAAAATAATTATTATTTTAAATTGTAATATGATATTTATATATTATATTAAAAAAACTAATAGCAAATAAAAATTTATTTAAAATTAAAATAATCATTTTTTAAAATATTAAAATTTCCAACCTACATGGATAAAATTATAAATAACTATTATCTATCACCTAAAAGTTACACATAGAACTAATAAGCACAAAAAAATAAAAATAAATAAACAATTCGATTCATTTACATCGATAAATATAAGTTTTAAAAGTTTTATGTTTAATTTTATTAATTATAAAATTTTTATTTATTATTTGTTTTCATATTTATTAGCAAGCCTTACACCTTATTTTTTTTACTTTCAAATCATTCTTTTATTTAGCACACATCTTTAAAATCAGTGGCTCATATAAAATAATAATAATTAAAATCTCATGATATTTTACTTAATTATTGAATGTAAAATTCATATATTTTAAGTGTTAATAACTAAAATATTACTCACCTTGATATTAACCATTTAATGGTCAAGTGAAAATTCGTTAATTTTATTCACTTTGTGACTAAAATTGAAACAAACAAACAAACAAACAAATGACGATTTTTGTGGGATCAAAATTCCATCCGGTAAGACTAAAGTACAATTTCTATTCTAATTCTACATATAAGATTTTACTTTTCTTAAATAAAGAAGTAGTTAAATGAATTGTTCAACTTTTCTAGTTTGTCAGATAATGTATAAAATTATATTAAAAACAAGGATTTTTTTTTAAAACAACAATTCTATATCTTTTCAAAACTTTATTGTTTAGGTTGATGTTAGGTAGATTTTTTAGAGATATGTGGACGAAAGCAAATTCGTGAGAAATAATGGTGAGTGAATATTATTTTTGATTTTTAGGAGACGTGACTCAAAGGGATCCGATGCCAGCTCATAGTCAGAGCTTCGCAACCGGCCTCTTGGATCTTGAGGATTTTGAGGAATCCCGCGACGGCGAGCGCGAGGAGCATGTTGGAATTAAGGCTGTTGAAACTATGCATGATAAACGTTGGACATTTTCTTCCTTTTATGCTGTATTTTCTGTTTAATTGTTTAGTGTCAAACGCTGTCGTTTCGTGCTTTGTGTAGTTGAGTTGTATACGACGTCGTTCTACTTAATAGAAACGGCGCCGTTTTGTGTCTTTCTTTCTTGTCGTGTTGCATGGATATATAGGGCGACTGTACGTTCATTTTCTTTTGAGTTTTTGGAATGGAAGTACTGAGCTAAGAAAACCCCAAAATATCTCTTCCATATTCATTCGATTTTACATGGTATCAGAGCATTCGATTCTGGGAGCTTGAAGGAGAATCTGAGATCGAGCATCTGAACAACAATGGCGATCAGACGAGAAGGCGCATTTAATGTTGGTGGTGGATCTGATGTGCGGCAGGGAGCATCTTCGAGCAACGATCCGTTTTTCTTACATGGATCAGATAATACTGGAATGATGCTCGTTTCAAATCAGCTAACTGGTAAGAATTTTCTTTCATGGAGAAGATCGATGACTATTGCCCTGGGTGCTAAAAGAAAGTTAGGATTCATTAATGGTGAAATAGCTCAACCTAATGTTGATGATGATGAGTATGATGATTGGAAAAAGGTCGATTGGACTGTTTTATCATGGATTTTAAACTCGCTATCAAAGGAGATTGCTGAATCTGTCATATATGCTGAAACATCAAAGGAACTTTGGGATGATATTTGTCAAAGATATGGAGAGAATAATGGTCCTATGCGGTATAAATTGCAGAGAGAAATAAACACTTTAACTCAGGGTAATAGCTCGGTGATGGAGTATTTCAACAGATTGAAGAAGCTACGGGATGAGTTTGCTTGTATTGTTCCCAAGCATACTTGCAGTTGTCCTAAGGGCTTATTAGCAGCTCAACTTGAAACTGAAAATAAGCTGATTCAATTCCTTATGGGATTAAATGACAGCTGTGATCATTTGAAGAATCAGATAATGTTGTCTGATCCATTGCCGAGTGTTAACAAGGCATACTCAATGTTGCTTTCAGCAGAAAGACAAAGATCTGTTGCAAACAGCATTGATAAAATTGAAAATATGGCTATGAATGTGAAGTATGATGGCTATGGTAGAGGACAGACAGGACAAGGAAGAGGATATGGTGGAAGAGGTGGTAATTGGCAAAGTGGAAGGGGAAGAGCTGGTGTTAGATTGAGTAGAGAGGAAAGGGCAAAGTTGTTGTGTGATAAGTGTGGGATGCATGGACACACAATAGCTACATGCTTCAAAATTCATGGAGTACCAGAATGGTACAAGGAACTAAAGGTTCAGCAAACCAAACCTTATGCTGGTAGTGTTGAGACTTATGAGGATGGAGAACAGTGGGGAGAGCAAAGACTTGAAAGGAAGGGCTCAACAGAAAGTGAGTTATCATTGGTAGTAAAACAACTAAAGGAAATAAGTCAGTACATCAAAGGTAGAGAGAATATGGATGGCAAGGTTGACTATGCTCAGATGGCAGGCTTTGATGATAAAAGAGAGGAGGATGGAGTTCATTTTGCCCTAACAATAGCAGAAAATCTGAACAGTGGTGAATGGATCATAGATACTGGAGCCAGCAGACATATGTGTGGTAATCTTGCTATCATGAAGAACATTTTTCAGCTAAAGGAACCTATCTCAGTTTGCTTACCAGATGAATCATATAAGAAAGTAAAAACTGGGGGGGAAGTTGCAGTGACCAAAGTTCTCACTCTGAGAGGTGTTTTGTATGTTCCAGGGTTCAAGTATAATCTTCTCTCAGTAAACCAGCTTTGTGTTGATGAAAAGGTGAAGTGCTCCTTCTCCTCTACTGCATGTCTACTGGAAAATTGTGATAGTGGAGCAATTGTTGGTGAAGGAACATCAAAGGGAAATTTGTATGTTCTGAAAAAGGACAATATGACCAAGCATAAAGAAAATATTCTTGGATGCAATTTGTCTTTGGTCATGTGGCACAAGTGTCTTGGTCATGCTAGCTACAGCACAATGCAGCACATTCCTTTCCTCAAAGGAAAATTTACAGATTCAGAAAGCAAAGAAGTTCAAGCATGTGAGGTATGCTTTAAAGCAAAGCAACACAGACTTCCTTTCCAGAACACTTATATACATGCTACTAGGTGTTTTGAGCTATTGCATGTGGACATTTGGGGACCCTGTAAGGATGAATCACTCACAGCTACACCTTTCTTCCTAACAGTGGTTGATGATTTTAGTAGAGCAGTATGGATTTTTCTTATGACTCATAAATCACAAGCTGCAAAATTTCTGAATGAGTTTGTGTTAATGATAGAGACACAGTTTGAGACTGTTGTTAAGAAAATAAGATCAGACAATGGACAGGAGTTTTTGAGCAAGGAGCTGCAGAATTTTTTTAAGCAAAAGGGGATAGTCCATGAAACAAGTTGTCCCTACACACCACAACAAAATGGTGTGGTAGAGAGAAAACATAGACAGTTACTTGAAATTGGCAGAGCTTTAATTTTTCAAGGGAAGTTACCTCTGAAGTTTTGGCCATACTCAGTTCAAGCAGCAGCTTTTATCATCAATAGACTACCCAGTGCAGTCTTAAATTGGAAAACCCCATTTGAGAAGGTTTACAATAAGCAGCCAGACTACACAAGGTTAAAACCTTTTGGTTGCTTGGCTTATGCTGCAAAGGTCCAACCATTGAAATTAGCTTTATATATATATATATGAGCACCTGAGTCATTGCTTGGCCTTATTTTCTGCTTCCTTTTATTTTGAGCACAATAAGTGTGGAAAAATGTTAAGGATATGAGACTCAATTTGAAGAGTGATTGGACCTGATTGTGGATGTAAATAGTTAACGTAATGTCATATTGATTAAATTGTAGTTGAGTGCGATTGTTGATAGGGAAACTGGGATGTGATCATGTGAATCGTGTATCTTTTATGTAATTTCTAAGCAACCACTTGTTTGGGCAAAAAGTATTGTAAGCGAAAATAGTACGAGTATTTGAATAGATCAACACTCCCCAGACATCCATCTGTACAGAATCTCGAGAAATTGTCTAAAGTGTGTTGTTGGTCCAAGCAGTCAATTATAAAAGGTATCCTATAATTGACTACAAAATCATATAATTCCTGCAGGCGCATTGCGTAGAAGACGAGTGCAGGAAGGGTTTTATTTATGCTTATCGAGGGAAAACAAGAGGGTTGTTGGTTCACCACTGGTGCGGGTTTCCGGTTTATAAGGTCGATTTTGGGTGGGGAAGGCCCGTTCAGGTCTGCACAGCGCCCGAAGAACGGTGTGATTTTGATGGACATGAACTGGTTAGAGGGAGATGATGATGATAAAGGAAAAGGGATTGAAGCTTGGGTCAGCACGACCGACGACAACCTAAAAATCCTCGAAAATAATTTTGAATTGATTTCAGCTGATGCGAAGGATGATAGAGCATTTGTATTCGTGAGTTCCTGTTGATTATGCATGGTGGGTGTTTGTGGCCTTTTTTTGGGGTGAACTAAGTTGGGTTCCTGTTGGTATCTTGGGTGAGATTTGGATGTCACATGTTGGTATAATTGGATACATAGGCATTCTTCTCAAATTTGTTGGTTCATCCGTCACGACTCACACATATAGAGAGAGATCATGAGTGGTCTAGAAAATTTCATGTTTAGAGAATTCTACCACATACTAATAGGCTCTCTCATTAACTTTTATTAATCTAAGAACAATCTAGACTTACCTAAAGACTAATCAAAAATATAGTTTCTTAGAGAATTCTTCATGAAGTTTTTTTCTACATAGATTTCTCCAAATAATCATTTCATCTTTATTTGTAAGTAATCATGAGGATTCATATTAGTGCGTTACAAATGCTATTTCACCGATCTATACACGAATTTAGGTTCGTTTATACACCAATTTATTAATAATCAAAGGAAAAAAAAAAATGGTACAAACACACCATAATCAACATGCCTGAACTAAGGATAAAAGCGCTCTGCAGCATCCTTTGCATCCTCTGAAAGCAACTCGAAATTCTTTTGGAATATTTCCAAGCCATCGTCGGCCATGCTGACCCAAGCTTCAATTCCCTTTCCCTTATCATTATCATCGCCTTCATCTAACCTGTTCGTGTCAGTAAAAATCGCACCGTTTCTTATCGGCAAGGCCGTCGGGCAGACCCGAACGGGCCTTCCCCACCCGAAATCCGCCTCGTAAAACGGGAACCCACACCAGCTCGTGAACAAACATGCCTCTGTTTCTTCCTCGGCAAGCATAGACAAAGCCTTGTACAAGTCCCCCAAGTACACGTGCCCCCCATTTTCCGATCCCACGATGTAACCCTTGTCCACCTTCCGTATCGACTCCCTCAATCTCCCGACCACCTCGTGAGGCTTCAAATCTTCCCTGGCCGAGAAGTACGCAAACGACGTCATGATGCAGTTCCCGAACACGTTCTCTAGAGCCTTCTTCCTCGGCCTTAGGTTCACCGCATGGCTCGCCAACACCACCTTCCGATCATCATTGCTCGAAAACGCTTGCAACACGCTCTCCAAGACGAAAGCCGACACGAACTCGATCCGCGTGGGGCCCACCGACGACGACGACCCGACCCGCCGCCGGAGGGCCGCCAGCTTCGCCTTGTCGAACGCGAATCTCTTGGTCCGGTAGATCTTGCCGGTGGCCGTCGTCTCCGGGAGGATTCCCGCCTCCCGGAGCTCGTCTCGTGCCGGGAAATATCTCGATAGGTCAAAGTCAAAGTCAAATGAGAAATGGCGTGGGCGGCGACTGGCAGCAGCTGCCGCCCACGCCTCGACGAACGCGGCCACGGACGCGCAGTCCGAGACGTTGTGGGAGAAGCGGATGCCGACGGCTACGCCGCCGCACGGGAAGAAATTGACGCGCGCGAGGAAAAGGGGGAACGATGATGATGATGAGGTGCCGGTGGGCCCCACGGGAAGGTAATGCTCGACGTCGTCCGGGTGGAGCACGGCTTGGTGGAGGGGGCGGGAGAGGACGCGAGCGAAGGAGAGGTCGGCTCCGGCGTCGTTGCAGTGGACGGTGGAGGAGTCGAGGAGGCGGCCGGCGAGAGGGTAGAAAGAGGTGAGGGCGCAGGAGAGGGATTCGCTCAGGTGTCGAGAGGTTCGATTGAGATGGTCGTCGTCGTTAGGGATTGTTTGGGGGTGGGTAGGGTTATTGTAGAAGTATATATAGGAGATGTAGGCGGAACGGAAGAGTTGGTCGATGTAAGAAAGTTTGTGGGTTTGGAGGTGTGGAGGAGTTGGGGAGGAGGGCTTCACCATCTCTTTAGAGATGATTTCTACCATAATAGGGCTTCTTTGAGCCATCTTTTTTTTTCTCACTATTTGTGTTTTGGTAGCTCGCTATTGATAGGGAAGAATGTTGTATTGCAAAAATAAATGGGAAAGGTCAAAGGTATATAGCACAATAATTGCTTTGCTCTCTATATATTTAGTAGTATTGTTTTGACAATTAAACGACCTGCATAATTGAGAATGAGTTGCACTATTATAATTAGTAACACCACGAGAAGCTCTCTTTAGGTTTGGAGCCTAGTTATGTAGCTATCTTTTGCTTTTTTTATTGTGGGGTTTGGATTGTTGGGGGTTGGTTCGTGTGCTGGTATGCTCGTAAGAAGTTGGGTAGGTAGTAGTCTATTCTTAGTGTAGGTGTGTGTTGATAGTTTTTAGTGAACGCGTGGTTATTCTTTTCTTGTAGGAGTTCTAGTCTTCAGTTGTTGGATTTTTTCGTTTTTTTTTTCTTTCTTTTTAATTGGTTTCAAACATATCGGTTTCAGTTATTGTTGTTACTGTCGAGTACTTGGACCCTATTTCAGTCATTTTTGGTTTTAGTCTAGGGGTGATTCGGTTAGTACTCCTCCTTGAGTCCACATTCATGATGGATTTGTATGACTAGTTAGACTTTGTGACTTAATTATCTTATAAATCTTCCTTAAAAAAAATAAAAAAATAAAAAACCCACGAGCTTGGGGACAACCGTTGACCTAATTGAATTATATCCAAGCAGACCCTATTACTTTGTTATTATTATTGTTTAGTTGCAATTTGTAAAAACACCACACGGAGAGCATGGTGCACGTATTATGACATCTACCTAATTATGCAGACTATTATTTGAGTTGTTCAAAATAAGGAAAAAGCCAATTGGGGAAAGAGTTTGCTCAGTCAACTAGGTTCAGTTCAGTTCAGTTCATAATAAACTTGTTCAAGTTGAGTAACTTGGCAGAAGGTAAACTTGTTTAATACCTTTTGCGCTTTTAGAGAAGGGAAAATTACACTTTATCTACCGAACTATCCGCGTTTTTACACTTTGCCCACTCAACTTTTTTCGGTGACACTTTACCACTTGAACTGCAAATATTCTTGCACTTAACGACTTCCGGCCATCGGAGATGCAAAATCAAGGGGAAAGTGTAAAAACGTGAATAGTTCGGTAGACAAAGTGTACTCGTGAAGGCTAATTTGAGGTGTCTCCTAAAGTGTAAATGACGATTTTGCCCTTGATTTTGCATCTCCTATGCCGGAAGTCGTTAAGTGCAAGAATACTTGAAGTTCAAAGGGTAAAGTGTCACCGGAAAAAGTCGAGTAGGCAAAGTGTAAAAACGCGGATAGTTTGATAAACAAAGTGTAATTTTCAATATGCAAAAATCATGTGAAAAGTCAATAAATTAAAAAAAATTACTCTCTAACTAATTGCCGAAAATTGTGAAATAGACTCACTAACTCAAGTGTCTGAGCAGACTATTTACAGTTTGATTGTTAGTCTGCAAATGAAAAGCAAATGGGCACAAATCACAACTGAGAGCTATTACAATTTTGATTTTTGATTATTTAGTCTGCAAATGCAAAAGCTAATATGCAAAAATCACAATTGAGAGCTGCCACAAATTATTGAGCATATTTTGTAATTGTGAAAAAGTGAACATC